AAAAAAAAAAAAAAAAAAAAGGGGGGGGGGCCGGTGGCGCACCTCCCTCCGGTCGCTTTCTGGCAGCCGCAAGGAGAGTCGATTCCGACCAGCCCCACTTTTAAAAATAAAATAAAATAAAATAAGAAAAAAGGGATGGGGAAGAAAGCATGTATTTTTTCTGTTTCCCATTTCTCTCTGTCAGCACATTTAAAACCCTAATTACAAAGTACTTCCTCTGTCCCTTATTTCAAGACATCAAGCACAGCCACTGAGCTAAAGTGCTGCCTCCTGCTACCAAGAAGGAGTTGACTGAATATCCTTCGGGTAGCAGACAACAGAAATACTAGTCTGTTACCATGCTTCTCAGTAACTGCTGACACCACCCCACTGTTAGTGGGGTAGGAACATCATCCCAAAGGGTAGCATGTGGAGTGACCATATTTGCAAAGGAAGTGCACAGTTCGGTGACATTGCAAAGAGATATAAGGGACGTGCCTCATGTGTCCCAAATTTGAAAAGCAGATTATTGGCTGGGCAAGGTGGCTCACACCTGTAATCCCAGCACTTTGGTAGGCCCTACAGGGAGGATCACTTGAGTCCAGGAGTTCAAGATCGGCCTGGGCAACACAGAGAGACCCTCCCCCACCCCCTCCGCAAAAAAATTTTTTAAACATTAACTGGGTCTGATGGGGCACGCCCGTACTTCCAGCTACTTAAGGGGCTGAGGTGGGAGGATGGCTACAGCCTGAGAAGTCGAGGGGCTGCAGTGAGTTGTGATCCCGCCGCTGAACTACACCCTGAGCGACAGGGCGAGACTGTTTAAAAAAAAAAAAAAAATACAGAAAAAGAAAAGCAGATTATTAGGAAACGGTGGAAATGCCCAGAGGAACTAAAGCCGACCTATGTTTGCTGGCTTTGAATTCACTGCTGAGAACATGTGGAAGCTGCTTCAGCAAAGGGGTGTCAGAAAGAACATCCCAGACAAGAGTCAAAACATCCGAGGTTCTTCGTGCTTGAGTTGGGGGCCCGACCTACAGAGCTAGCCCTAAACTGCAGCTACACTAAAAGCTGATAATCGTTCCAGCGCTACCTAAAGGTCAGGGAAGGATATATCTCAGACAAACGAGGCGACAACCGTCAGAATCCCCCAGTGGGGGTGCGGGAGACAGGAGCGGTCGGGACGAGAAGGTCTGGGGAAGGCAACACTTAAAGACTGTCGGAGGAAGGCATGCGGCGGCCGGAGGAAAGGCGAGGAAATACACAGTTCTAGAGGGTCCTCTCACTCCAGTTCTCAGGGGTCCGGAAAGCCGGAGACAGCAGAGGAGGAAGTTCCCAACCCTGTCAGAGACGTGCCCGGAAGCAGGCCCTTCTTACCCGCCGCTTCCCCTTCCCTCCAGCGCCCACTCAGGCTCTGCGCGCGCAGTCGTGACCGGCCCCGGCCGGGGAGGGCCGGGGAAACCCTGCGTGGGTGACGAGGCGGGAGTGACGAGGCCCTGTGGTCCCCCAAGGACCGGACGCGAAGCCGGGCGTGGTGAAGAGGCTTCCGATGCTTCACCGGCGCTGAACTTTCACTGCGCGTGCGCGGGGTTCTTCCGCTCGCGGGTGGCGGGGCCGCCTGCGCCTCTCGTTGCCCATTGCTAGGGCCCCGGGCTTGGACTTGTTTCCCCGTGGACCAACTGCCCAGCTGCAAGCCTCCGCTCCTGCCTGCTGGCCGGCTGGCCCACCCTTTCCATGCCGCTTACACTCTTGATTACTGGGGTGTCCCTGGAAGGCCGCGGATCTCAGTGTTAAGGAGAGACGACCCGAACTCCTGGCACGGTGCTTCTCTACCATTCTCTCAAATCGTTTTCTGAGTCTGCATGACTGAGCCCAGCACTGAAGGGATGCTTACTTTGGGGAAGGAGGAACTCAAAAGTCCAGTTTTTTTTCACTGTTGAACCTCATGTGTCACATTAGTGGCTTTTAAACTGTTTTGATCCCAGCCAACAGTGAAACAAAAATATTTTACGTCAAACCCAATACCACGTATTTTCTTCTCTTTTTTACGGGACAGGGTCTGGCTGAAGCTCAGTGATGCCATCTCGGCTCACTGCAGTCTCAACTTCCTCGGCTCTGGTGATCCTCCCACCTCAGCCTCCTGAGTAGCTGGGACTACAGGCCCGTTCCAACACCTCCAGGCTAATTTTTTGTATTTTTAGTAGAGACGGAGTTTCGCCATGTTGACCAGCCTGGTCTCCAGCTCCTGAACTCAAGTGATCCGCCCGCCCCGGCCTCCCAAAGTGCTGGGATTACAGGTGTGACCCGACGACGGGCCCGGCCTGAAACAAAATCTTCACAAAACTATGTTTACACTTACGACCCGCAACGCACAAAATTTTTATTCCTTCTTTTCTGTTTCATTACCAAAAACTGCTAACAGGCACCAATTGTCAGCAAACATTGTTGAAGACTTGGAAATGAGGGAAAGGGATTACTGGGTGCCCTTTCAGTGTAAGGCTGAAAGGACTTGAATCCATAGGGAGCTCTGACTTTCTATTGACTAAGCTATTTTACCAGAAAACTGATTAGTACTTAAACTAATTCTTGCCGGGCACGCTGGCTCACGCCTGTAATACTAGCACTTTGGGAGGCCAAGGCAGGTGGATCACAAGGTCAGGAGTTCGAGACCAGCCTGGCCAAGATGATGAAACACTGTCTCTACTAAAAAAATACAAAAATTAGCCGATGCCGTAGCAGGTGCCTGTAATCCTAGCTACTTGGGAGGCTGAGGCAGGAGAATCGCTTGAACCTAGGAGGCAGAGGTTGTGGTGAGCCGAGATCAGTCACTGCACTGTAGCCTGGATGGCAGAGCAAGACTTCGTCTCAATAATAATAATAACAATAATTCTTGCTCATCTGTAGAAAAGATACACCAAAACATTATGTTTTATTGACCTATAGCATATTAAACCATTTTTACCCTCTTAGCAAATTTGTTTAAACATTCCTGATTATTAGCAAATTCATGCTACATTCCTAAACACCTTACTGGCTCCCTTATTAATTAATGAGATAAATAAAATATTTGATACATATTTATTTTATATTTGTAAGAGAGTCATGATTTTACTTTTCAGAAAATTATACTTCAACGCCACTAAAATCAATTTCATGATTTACTACTGTATTACACCTGTGAAAGTTGAGCATACAAATTGGGTCATTCTTGTCATACCCAATGAAAACATTGGGAGGGGAAGCACTGAGGGCACATTACATTGCTCAAAGAATGTAATTCTCTGCAAGCCTGACTGCTGAAACTGCCT